GACATACACGCCAATAAGTGGCAATTGTTATCAACAGTTTAAACGCTCACAAGGCGTTTGTTTCAGGCTTCATGTCTTAGTATGGTTATATAATAACTCATTAAAAAGATATTAACAACACGTTAGTGTATAAACAACTAAACGTAAGTACATCTTCAAAGTACCAGTTTACAAAATAGAAAGTACAATGGTATACTACAGTTTTCAATAACAGCTGGTGAAGCCAAGCACACTCTCAGTTACAAGTTTTACAAATATAGAACATTGGTTTACAAAATAGAACGGTTTTATGGGAATAAAACTACTTTTCATATACAACAGGAAATATGGGATTTTCTGGAACAGTTTTCATAATCAAGATACAAAGACACCCTGTCAAACATAAAGACTTATGTACTCACTCAACTTATTGTTGATACTCTATTTTCAAATTACTTGTATTCTCAGGGAAATAATACAGGTACTCCCCGAGCTTTTTGAAAAGATGGAGCTATTATGAGTCATATCTTCTTCTTTTGGATAACTATTTTGGTTTCAATATACAATGATTGAACACATGTAAATACTTATACTTTTAAATACAATGGTTGTTTGTACTTTGATTACTATGATGCATGTGTTGTGATACTACAAATGAAGTCCTCCACCCCCGGACGTTTCCGCCGTCTGGTTTGGGGGTGTGACACTTGCTTTCATCTTTTATTGCTATCATTTGTCATTAATTTCATTTTTATTTTATATCTGTAGGTGCGTTCATGGATGCCATCAGTAACATGCATTTTGAGTTTGTTGCTTCTGGACATTATGCAAAAGTTATTCACCCCTTATAGATGAAACCATGATCTTTCATTTCTTCATCTGTCAAAGGATATGGAAGTAAGCTATGCTCTACTTATTTCATTACCAACATACTGACACCTGTTAGTGAAGGATACATGTTAGAATTTCAGGTGAAGGATCATACCTACTTTCTTTCATATCTCTCACAAGCTCAGCTTAAAAGACTAGTGCTTCCTCTTGGATGTATTTACTATTTAAACCAATCAAATTATCAGGATGAAGTCCGAAGGCTTTCCCGGATAGTGGATTTGCCTAACCAAGAAAGAAGGGATTCACAGGAATATGCTTTCTTGGGAAGGTATGTTTATGTTATGTTTTTAACAAAAATCCCACTTTGGAAGACATATTGGTGAAAAAAGAAGGTTATTATTAGAAGCTGAAACAGGTGATTTTTTAGGAAGCGCCCTCTCAAAATTGCGGTTCTTCTCAGTGGTGGCGTTGATAGCAGTGTCGCACTTCGCCTCCTCCGCAACCGGACATTCCTGCACCGCTTTCTACCTTAAAATCTGGTTCCAAGTGCGTATGCTTTTCTTTGATTGACATTACATTGCATATACGAATAAAATCATTCAGGTTTATGCCCACAATGTCTGGTTTCGAATATAAACTTAATTTTGTGGTTATCTAAAATCAAATTGTAAGTTTTTGCAAATTTGCTCATCTCTTGTCATATGATAATCTGCTCCAATTCATGAATTTAACATCGATTTTGTGGTGGATGATATGATTGAAATGAAACAAAAATCTCCTCTCTTATTGGTTTCTTATTTTACTTGTACCTTTCTCTTTGTCTTTGAGCATTTTGAAGCTTGAAACCTATAATTCCTTAGCTAGTTCTGGTAAGGAATTCGTTCGTAGGAAGATTTCGAGAAATTTTGGTCAGAATATCCATGGGAAGAGGATTTGAAGTACACAAAAGCTGTTTGCAATCAGGTTGTTTGATTCACCTTTATATTATCCATCTCATTTTATCTTAAGATTTCCGTTAGTTCTTAACTGGATTTGAAGGCTAAAAAACACTTCCCTGCTTGTTTTAACAAATTAACTTCTCGATTCTATCACTCAAATCCCTAATTATGTGATCTTTTTCTTTGTTTCTTCCAAGTTTGATTAGTATGAAGGAATATATCAACATTTTTTTTTTTCAGGTAGCTTGTAGCACTGGAAAGTTGTACATCTGACAGATGAATATTGGACAAAGTGGTTAGTCATACCCCTCTGATGCATTTTCTCACATTCATCATCATCAATGGAACTTATTGCTTACAAGTTACAATGTTGCAGGTATCTTACCTTATTGATGAGTATTAATGTGGGCGTACACCTAACTAGACCTGGCAATTCGTGTATTCGTGTCATGAAAACGTGTCAGCCACGAATTTGACACAATACGATTACATGATGAGAAATAAGCTTTATCTCAATTTTAATGATGTTTTTGTCGTGTGTATTTGTGTCGTGTTGTGTCTCTCATAGATTCGTGTCTTCGTGTCTGAAATTGCCAGGTCTACACCAAACCCTGATGTTCTTTGCAATACAAGAATCAAATTTGGTGCGTAATCATATTGCTTGCTTTCATCTTTTATTGTTCTCATTTGTCATTAATTTCATTTTTATTTTATATCTGTAGGTGCGTTCATGGATGCCATCAGTAACATGGATTTTGAGTTTGTTACTTCTGGACCAGTGTTGTAAAACTCGCCGAGTTGACCGAGTACTCCTCTGAGTACTTGCTACTCGGCCCCTTACCGAGGCGAGTTGCAAAATCCCGAGTACTCCCCGATCGACCCTTTTACCGAACTGAGAGTGTTGTAAAAGACGGTCAACTCGGCGATTAATATGTATAATATACTTAATGATCTATTATTTAACACACATACATGTGATTATTACTACATATATATCTTAAATTTTCAGTAGTTATTCATGAAGTGAGATCATTATGTGTTTTTCAATTTTTGTGTATTCACATGTATAAAATTTTGTTATATATTTAAATCAACTTATGATTTTAACTTAAATTTTGACATAATAATGTCCCTAAAAATATTTCTACATGAATTACCGAATCTGAGTACTCCCGAGTACTCCGAGTACTCGCTACTGGGTAGTCGGCCGAGCAGGTGCGAGTAACGAGTTCTACAACCTTGTACTGGACATTACGCAAAAGTTATTCAACCCCTTACAGATGAAACCAATGAGCTTTCATTTCTTCAGCTATCAAAGGATAGGGTAAAGATATGCTCTACTTATTTTCATTACCAACTTACTAACACCTGTCATTGAGGGATACATGTTAGAATTTTAGGTGAAGGATCAAACATACTTTCTTTCATATCTCTCACAAGCTCAACTTAAAAGACTAGTGCTTCCTCTTGGATGTATTCCAAAAGTAAGTAAGTTTGCTTTATGAAAACAAAACACAATTATGAATTTACTATTTAAACCTATCAAATTATCAGGATGAAGTCCGAAGGCTTGCCCGGAAATTTGATTTGCCTAACCAAGAAAGAAGGGATTCACAGGGAATATGCTTTCTTGGGAAGGTATGTTTATGTTATGTTGTTAACAAAAATCCCAACTTTGGAGTATATATATATATATATATATATATATATATATATATATATATATATATATATATATATTAAATGGAAATTTATGTAATTATTATACAGATTAGGTATAGTGAATTTGTTGAAAGACATATTGGTGAAAAAAAGAAGGTATACTATTAGAAGCTGAAAATAGATTTTTTAGGAGTCCACAGGGGCTTCTTGTTTTACACAATTGGTCAACGCCAAGGTTTGGGTCTTCCAGGAGGACCATGGTAAACCTTTTATATTATTATTATTATTATTATTATTATTATTATTATTATTATATAAAAATCTTTAAAGATTTATTTATTTATAAAAAAATACATGTTATGTTTCCATGCAGGTATGTTGTTGAGAGAAAGATGTAAAAAATAATGTGGTTTTTGTATCAAGAAATTATTATTCGGTTGATAAAAGAAGACGATCATTTCTTGTTGGATCCTTTAGATGGATCAGCGGATCTCCTCCTCACAACTTAAACCACTTAAGATGCAAGGTAAACATAAACATTACATGACTTAAATTTTTCACTTAATAACAGACTTAATATACATTTACACGTGTTTTTGACAGGTTCGACATGGCCCGCTTTTCTATGATTGCAATTTGCATATAGAAGAAAAAGATGGTATTCCAATTACCTGAAGATGATCAGGGTCTCGCTGCTGGCCAATTTGCAGCTTTTTATCAACATGAGCTTTTTGCTTTGTGTTGGGTCAGGGGTAATTTTGGAATCATGGGGATGATGCTAAGGGGTTTCCTGTTTCTGTTTCTGACAAGGCTCGTCATATTGCAAAAAGGAAGAAAAATCTAAGCTTGGTAAACCTGTCAAGATCAAACCAAAACATCATGATTGTTTGAGGAATTCGATATGCTAAGGGGTTTCCTGTTTATGTTTATGTTCAAATATATTTATTTAATATTATAGAAAACTTGAGTATCAATTAATTGTTAAAACTAACAACCTTACTTTGGATAGAGTAAACAATACTTTTTACATAGTTAGATTAAAACAATAATGAAAAAAATTTAAAAAAAATTAACTACAACTCCAAAGTAGGAGGTTTTTAATTGGAAGGAAGAGAAGCTATCAGAAAGCCCTTGTTGTTGTTCCTTTTTTTTTTCCCAACCAATAATCGACTCCCCTTTTCATCTACCATTGTAAGCCTCTGACCAAAAACACCAGTAATTACTGCTTTTACTAAAATGATTATAATGAAATTAACTTGGACATTTCTACTTGCTCGAGGCATCTTCTTGATGAAGTCCAAAGCAAGCGCAATCACAATATTAGCCATTTCAATCTCCTTATTTGTAGCATTTTTCTTCTACTAAATTGTTTAAAGTTTACAACCATCTATATGCAGACGTCACAATCAAATGATCTTTGCATAAACTTATTACAGTTGACTTTCCACTTCCACTTGGAACAAAATTCATGTCTTTTGTGAGTGTATATGTGTGGTAAGAATAAAACAGTACAACTTACTAGCATGTAACGTCACTTTCATATCATTCTTACACCAGACACCTGTAATGCAAGGCTCATCCCCGTCATCGGCATTCTCGGCATTCTGCGCCTCCAACTCATCTCCGTCTCCGACATTCTCAACATTCTGTTCTCGACATACATTTTTTTCTTTTGGTATCGAACCAGAAAGAAAACAAGAGCAGCTAAAGAACGAAATTAACCTTGAAGAAAAGATTTTTAACCCAAGCTAACCGTACATACATTCTCTCATCTCTTCTTTCTTAATTAATGTGTGTGTGTGTGTATATATATATATACATACATACATACTAGTGGTGTACCCGCGCAAACCGGCGGCGACAAATAGTTTCCGGGCGGTAATTAACTCATTTCGTTGACTAGTTTCCTTGTGGCAAAACAGTGAATAAAAATTTAATAATGAATCTTGTACATCAAATTGTCACGTATGAAAGAACCATTAACCATAACAAATAAAAAACAGTAAACAAACGATCTATCCTCCTAACTACTATGCCCTGAAACGAAAGGTTCACGTGCATCAAATCAATCACTCGTATAGCTTTTGCAAATCATCTTTAAATTTGGCCTTCAATTGTTCCCTCTTTAACTTGAGTGCGCCTCCAACTCATCTCCGTCTCCGGGATTCTCAGCATTCTGTTCTCGACATACTTTTTTTTTCTTTTGGTTTCGAACACAAAGAAAACAAGAGCAGCTAAAAAATGAAATTATCCTAGAAGAAAAGATTTTTAACCCTAGCTAACCGTACACACCAGTTATTGTGTTTATTTAGTACATATCAAAAAGGACTAAAGTTGGGATTTTTTTTAACAAAAACACCAATTAGTGACGACATTAGTTTTTCGTGATGATCTGTTCCTCAGCAAGTCATGGGACCAACTTTGGAGAGAGATTGTGTTTTTGTTGACAAAAACACCATTAATCGAAAATTATTGTGTTTAACCCAATGCCGACGATGGGAGAAGATCTGTTTGGCATTCTGCACCTCCAACTCATCTCCGTCTCCGACATTCGTAGCATTCTGTTCTCGACATGAATTTTTTTCCCTTGGTTTCGAACAGAAAGAAAACAAGAGCAGCTAAAGAATGAAATTAACCTAGAAGAAACTATTTTTAACCTATCTAACCGTACAGACCAGTTATTATGTATCATTAGTAGTCTCTGCACACCAGGTTCTTGAGCAATGGGCCAAAAGTGGTGGTATTAGTTACAATGATTATGTTGAGCTTTGTGCTAAAAAAGAGGCTGTATCCGAGGTCCACCAATCTCTTTCCAAATTTGGTTTTAATTTATATTTCAATGAGGGTGTTTATGTCTTTGTTCATCACATCCTCCCACCTTTTTCTTATGAATTGTGTTTTGTAGTTTGGAAAAGAGGCAAAGTTAGACATGTTTGAGCTTCCTGCAAAGATAAAGCTGCTGCCAGATCCATGGACACCTGAATTTGGATTAGTGACAACTGCACTCAAGTTAAAGAGGGAGCAATTGAAGGCCAAATTTAAGGATGATTTCTAAAAGCTATACGAGTGATTGATTTGATGCACATGAACCTTTTGTTTCATGGCATAGTAGTTAGGAGGATAGATCGTCTTATTACGGTTTTTTATTTGTTACGGTTAATAGTTATTTCATACGTGACAATTTGATGTACAATATTTTAAGGAGTAATTAATTCTCTAAATGTTAAAAATCTGATTTTTTTCGATAATAAATATATTAAATCGTACATTCTAAAGGAATATGTTTATGATTATCTTGAAAAAAAATATTAAATTCTGACCAAATATTATAAACATGTATTATCAAGATTAATAATTTTTAATGAATACAAATTTCATATGAAAATAATTTTTATATCTTAAAATCCGTAATTATATTCATTCTTAACAAAACAATTATGAACATTCATTCTAAAAGAATATAAGTAATAATGGTTAACAATTACATTTATTCTTTAAGAATAAAACTGAGAATGATTAAAAATCAAATCAAAACATTGAAATCTAAGTAAAAAACTAATACATTATGATAGAATATAGTTACTAATCATTCAGATAGAAAAAATGAAAATCCATTCTGAACGAATATTGTTGCCTTACTTTCCATTCTTCACTAGTCTTCAAACCGAGTTTCCATTCTTCACCAAGCTTCTTTTTCTTTACTTGATATTATTTCTTTCTGAATTTATAACCTTCTTAAACTTTGCTTCATTGTTGTAAAAAAAAACATTACAACTTGCTTAAGCATGAAAATTTCTAGTCTCAAACATAAGAATTTTATTGAAACATTTAATATGGAAACCAAAAATTAATAATGGTTAAGCATGAGTGAAGGCCAAATTTAAGGATGATTAGCAAAAGCTATACGAGTGATTGATTTGATGCATGTGAACAATTTGCTTTATGGCATAGTAGTTAAGAGGATAAATCGTCTATTTACTACTGGTTTTTATTTATTATGGTTAATGGTTATTTCATTCGTGACAATTTGATGTACAAGATTCATTATTAAATTTTTATTCACTGTTTTGCCACAAGGAAACTATTCAACAAAATGAGTTAATTACCGCCCGAAAACTATTTGTTGCCGCCGCTTTGCATAGGTACACTACTAGTGTGTGTGTAATATATATATATATATAGATATATATATATAGATATATATATATATAAATATTATATATATATATATATATATATATATATCACACACACACACACGTTAATTAAGATAGAAAAGATGAGAGAATGTTTGTACGGTTAGCTAGGGTTAAAAATCTTTTTATTCTAGGTTAATTACATTCTTTAGCTGCTCTTTTTTTCTTTCTGTTCGAAACCAAAAGAAAAAAATGTATGTCGAGAACAAAATGCTGAGAATGCCGGAGACAGAGATGAGTTGGAGGTGCAAAATGCCGACGACGGGGATTAGCTGTTGCGAGCCTAGCATTATAGGTGTCTGGTGTAAGAATGATATGAAAATGACATTACATGCTAGTAAGTTGTACTGTTTTTGCAAATTAAAGAGGTGTTTTTAACTTATATTTCAATAATTATGCTGAGCTTTCTATTGGGCTAGTAGCAGTGTTTAACTTTTTATGTCTTGATATAAAAGTGACAGGAAATTTAAAGTATAAGGGTGAAAGTGTAAATAGTTCTTTCTAAATTATTATTTTCACGCACAGTGTCATCAACACGGCACAAAAGCTCGATGAAATGATGCTCAAAACAACAACGACAGCTCTATTTCACCCCACCACCAAGCTGTACTATTTACCCCTCAAGGCTTTCGTCTCACACTCGCTTCACAAACCCCAGCGGTTAATAAATCGACAAAGCTACCCTCAAGCTGATAGAACAATCTTATCCATCAACACACCTCGTTCTCTATCATCTACAACAGTTCCCCAAATTTCTAACGACACGACTTCTGATTTGGACAGCAGTTACTTATCTTGCTCAATGACCAATAGCAAGCACCCTCTCAAAATTACGGTTCTTCTCGGTGGTGGCGTTGATAGCAGTGTCACACTTCGCCTCCTCCACGCAGTCTGACACTCCTGCACCGCTTTCTACCTTAAAATCTGGTTCAAAGTGCGTATGCTTTTCTTTTGATTGACATTAAATGCATATACGAATCAAATCATTCAGGTTTATGCCCACAATGTCTGGTTTCGAATATAAACTTAATTTTGTTGGTTATCTAAAAATTCAAATTGTAAGTTTTTGCAAATTTCTCATCTCTTGTCGGATGATACATCTGCTCCAATTCAAGAGTTTAACATCGATTTTTGTGTTGGATGATATGGTTGAAATGAATAAAAATCTCCTCTCTTATTGTTTCTTATTTTACTTTACCTTTCTCTTTGTCTTTGAGCATTTTGAAGATTGAAACCTATAATTCCTTAGCTAGTTCTGGTAATGAATTCGTTCGTAGGAAGATTTCCAGAACTTTTGGTCTGAATGTCCATGGGAAGAGGATTTGAAGTACGCAAAAGCTGTTTGCAATCAGGTTGCTTTCTTCACCTTCATATTATCCATCTTATTTTATCTTCAGATTTCCGTTAGTGCTTAACTGGATTTGAAGGCTCAAAAACACTTCTCTGCTTTGTTTTAACAAATTAACTTCTCGATTCTATCACTCAAATCCCTGATTATGTGATTTTTTTCTTTATTTCTTCCAAGGTTGATTATTATTGAAGGAAATATATCAACATTTTTTTTCAGGTTGATGTAGCACTGGAAGTTGTACATATGACAAATGAATATTGGGACAAAGTGGTTAGTCACACCCCTCTTGATGCATTTTCTCACATTCATCATCATCAATGGAACTTATTGCATACAAGTTACAATGTTGCAGGTTTCTTACATTATTGATGAGTATAAATGTGGGTGTACACCTAACCATGATGTTCTTTGCAATACAAGAATCAAATTTGGTGCGTAATCATATTGCTTGCTTTCATCTTTTATTGTTCTCATTTGTCATTAATTTCATTTTTATATTATATCTGTAGGTGCGTTCATGGATGCCATCAGTAACATGGATTTTGAGTTTGTTGCTTCTGGATATGGTAAAGATATGCTCTACTTATTTTCATTACCAACTTGCTGATAACTGTCAGTGAGGGATACATGTTAGAATTTTTGGTGAAGGATTAGACCTACTTTGTTTCATATCTCTCACAAGCTCAGCTTAAAAGACTAGTGCTTCATAGTAGATGTACTCCAAAAGTAAGTAAGTTTGCTTTATGAAACACAAAACAGAATTCACGAATTTACTATTTAAACCATCAAATTATCAGGAAGAAGTCCGGTTGGTGCCCGGAAATTTGATTTGCCTGAGTGGAAATTTATGTAATTATTATACTGATTTGGTTCAGTGAATTTGTTGGAAGACATATTGGTGAAAAAGAAGGTATATTATTAGATGCTGAAACTGGTGATTTTTTAGGAGTCGACAGGGGCTTCTGGTTTTACACAATTGGTCAACACCAAGGTTTGGGTCTTGCAGGAGGACCGTGGTAAACCTTTTATTATTATTATTATTATTATTATTATTATTATTATTATTATTATTATTATGTAAAAATATTTAAACATTTATTTATTTATAAAAAAAATACATGTCATGTTTCCATGCAGTTATGTTGTTGAGAAAGATGTAAAAAAATAATATGGTTCTTGTATCAAGAAACTATTATTATGTTGATAAAAGAAGGCGATCATTTCGTGTTGGATCCTTTAGATGGATCAGCGGATATCCTCCTCATAACTTAAACCACTTAAGATGCAAGGTAAACATAAACATTACATGACTTCAATTTTTCACATAATAACAGACTTAATATACATTTACACGTGTTTTTGACAGGTTCGGCAAGGCCTGCTTTTCTATGATTGCAGTTTGCATATAGAAGAAAAAGATGGTTTTGGCACTGTCCAATTACCTGAAGATGATCAGGGTCTCGCAGCCAGCCAATTTGTAGCTTTTTATCAACAAGAGCTTTGTGTGGGGTCAGGGGTAATTTTGGAATCATGGGATGATGCTAAGGGGTTTCCTGTTTCTGTTTCTAACAAGGCTCGTCATATTGCAAAAATGGAAGATAAATCTAAGCTTGGTAAACCCATCATGATCAAACAAAAAACTCAAGATTGTTTGACAGATTCGATATGCTAAGGGGTTTCCTGTTTCTGTTTATGTTCAAATATATTTATTTAATATTACAGAAAACTTGAGTATCAATTAATTGTTAAAAACTAACAATCTTCCTTTGGATTGAGTAAACAATACTTTTTACATAGTTTGATTAAAGCAATAATGAAAAAAAATTTAAAAAAATTAAACTACAAGTCCAAAGCAGGAGGTTTTTTATTGGAAGGGAAGAAGCTATCAGAAAGCCCTTGTTGCTATTTTTTTTTCTGCCCAACCAATAATTGACTCCCATTTTCATCTACCATTGTAAGCCTCTGACCAAAACACCATTAATGATGAATTGATGATGTTACTGCTTTTACTAAAATGATTATAATGAAATTAACTTGGACAGTTTACTAGCTCGAGGCAACTTCTTGATGAATTCCAAAGCAAGCGCAATCACAATATTAGCCACTTCAATCTCCTTATTTGTACCATTGTCTTCTACGCAGTTGTTTGAAGTTTACAACCATCTATATGCAGACGTCACAATCAAATAATCTTTACATAAACTTATTACAGTTGACATGCCACTTCCACTTGGAACAAAATTCATGTCTTTTGTGAGTGTGTATGTGTGGTAAGAATAAAACAGTACAACTTACTAGCATGTAACGTCACTTTCATATCATTCTAACACCAGACCCCTATAATGCAAGGCTCATCCCCGTCATCGGCATTCTCGGCATTCTGTGCCTCCAACACATCTCCGTCTCCGACATTCTCAATATTCTGTTCTCGACATACATTTTTTTCTTTTGGTATCGAACCAGAAAGAAAACAAGAGCAGCTAAATAATGAAATTAACCTAGAAGAAAAGATTTTTAACCCAAGCTAACCGTACAAACATTTTCTCATCTCTTCTTTCTTAATTAACGTGTGTGTATGTATATATATATATATATATATATATATATATATATATATATATATATATATATATATATATATATATACATACATTCTAGTGCTGTACCCGCGCAAAGCGGCGGCGACAAATAGTTTCCGGGCGGTAATTAACTCATTTCGTCGAATAGTTTCCTTGTGGCAAAACAATGAATAAAAATTTAATAATGAATCTTGTACATCAAATTGTCACGTATGAAAGAACCATTAACCATAACAAATAAAAAACAGTAAACAGACAATCTATCCTCCTAACTACTATGCCATGAAACAAAAGGTTCACGTGCATCAAATCAATCACTCATATAGCTTTTGCAAATTATCATTAAATTTGGCCTTCAATTGTTCCCTCTTTAACTTGAGTGCGCCTCCAACTCATCTCTGCTCCGACATTCTCAGTATTCTGTTCTCGACATACCTTTTTTTTTCTTTTGGTTTCGAACAGAAAGAAAACAAGAGCAGCTAAAAAATGAAATTAACCTAGAAGAAAAGATTTTTAACCCTAGCTAACCGTACACACCAGTTATTGTGTTTATTTAGTACAGATCAAAAAGGACTAAAGTTGGGATTTTTGTTAACAAAAACACCAATTAATGACAGCATTAGTTTCACGTGTTCACGTGCATCAAATCAATCACTCATATAGCTTTTGCAAATTATCATTAAATTTGGCCTTCAATTGTTCCCTCTTTAACTTGAGTGCGCCTCCAACTCATCTCTGCTCCGACATTCTCAGTATTCTGTTCTCGACATACCTTTTTTTCTTCTTTTGGTTTCGAACAGAAAGAAAACAAGAGCAGCTAAAAAATGAAATTAACCTAGAAGAAAATTTTTTTAACCCTAGCTAACCGTACACACCAGTTATTGTGTTTATTTAGTACAGATCAAAAAGGACTAAAGTTGGGATTTTTGTTAACAAAAACACCAATTAATGACAGCATTAGTTTCACGTGATGATCTGTACCCGCGCAAAGCGGCGGCGACAAATAGTTTCCGGGCGGTAATTAACTCATTTCGTCGAATAGTTTCCTTGTGGCAAAACAATGAATAAAAATTTAATAATGAATCTTGTACATCAAATTGTCACGTATGAAAGAACCATTAACCATAACAAATAAAAAACAGTAAACAGACAATCTATCCTCCTAACTACTATGTCATGAAACAAAAGGTTCACATGCATCAAATCAATCACTCATATAGCTTTTGCAAATTATCATTAAATTTGGCCTTCAATTGTTCCCACTTTAACTTGAGTGCGCCTCCAACTCATCTCTGCTCCGACATTCTCAGTATTCTGTTCTCGACATACCTTTTTTTTTCTTTTGGTTTCGAACAGAAAGAAAACAAGAGCAGCTAAAAAATGAAATTAACCTAGAAGAAAAGATTTTTAACCCTAGCTAACCGTACACACCAGTTATTGTGTTTATTTAGTACAGATCAAAAAGGACTAAAGTTGGGATTTTTGTTAACAAAAACACCAATTAATGAGAGCATTAGTTTCACGTGATGATCTGTTCAGCATCAGCAGGTCATGGGACCAACTTTGGAGAGAGATTGTGTTTTTGTTGACAAAAACACCATTAATCGAAAATTATTGTGTTTAACCCAATGCCGACGATGGGAGAAGATCTGTTCGGCATTGGGTTAAACAAGAAATGAAAACAAGAGCAGCTAAAGAATGAAATTAACCTAGAAGAAACTATTTTTAACCTATCTAACCGTACAGACCAGTTATTATGTATCATTAGTAGTCTCTGCACACCAGGTTCTTGAGCAATGGGCCAAATGTGGTGGCATTAGTTACAATGATTATGCTGAGCTTTGTGCTAAAAAAGAGGCTGTCTCCGAGGTCCACCAATCTCACTCCGAAGTTGGTTTTAATTTATATTTCAATGAGGGTGTTTATATCTTTGTTCATCACATCCTCCCACCTTTTTCTTATGAATTGTGTTTTGTAGTTAGGAAAAGAGGCAAAGTTAGACATGTTTGAGCTTCCTGCAAAGATAAAGCTGCTGCCAGATCCATGGACACCTGAATCTGGATTAGTGACAACCGCACTCAAGTTAAAGAGGGAACAATTGAAGGCCAAATTTAAGGATGATATATAAAAGCTATACGAGTGATTGATTTGATGCACGTGAACCTTTTGTTTCATGGAATAGTAGTTAGGAGGATAGATCGTCTTATTACTATTTTTTATTTATTATGGTTAATAGTTCTTTCATACGCGACAATTTGATGTACAAGATTTTAAGGAATAATTAATTCTCTAAACGTTAAAAATATGATTTTTTCGATAATAAATATATTAATTCATACATTCTAAAGGAATATGTTTATGCTTATCTTGAAAAAAAAGTATTAAATTTTAACAAAATATTATAAACATGTATTATCAAGATTAATAATTTTTAATGAATACAAATTTCATATGAACAAAATTTTAATATCTTAAAATCCGTAATTATATTCATTCTTAACAAAACAATTCTGAACATTCATTCTAAAAGAATATAAGTAATAATGGTTAACAATTACACTTATTCTTTAAGAATAAAACTGAGAATGATTAAAAATCAAATCAAAACATTGAAATCTAAGTAAAAAACTAATACATTATGATAGAATATAGTTACTAATCATTCAGATAGAAAAAATGAAAATCCATTCTGAACGAATATTGTTGCCTTACTTTCCATTCTTCACTAGTCTTCAAACCGAGTTTCCATTCTTCACCAAGCTTCTTTTTCTTTACTTGATATTATTTCTTTCTGAATTTATAGCTTCATAAGAATTTATAACCTTCTTAAACTTTGCTTCATTGTTGTAAAAAAAAACATTACAACTTGCTTAAGCATGAAAATTTCTAGTCGGAAACATAAGAATTTTGTTGAAACATTTAATATGGAAACCAAAAATTAATAATGGTTAAGCATGAGTGAAGGCCAAATTTAAGGATGATTAGCAAAAGCTATACGAGTGATTGATTTGATGCATGTGAACCTTTTGTTTCATGGCATAGTAGTTCGGAGGATAGATCTTCTGTTTACTAATATTGTTTATTTGTTATGGTTAATGTTATTTCATTCATGACAATTTGATGTACAAGATTCATTATTAAATTTTTATTCACTGTTTTGCGACAAGGAAACCATTCAACGAAATGAGTTAATTACCGCCCGAAAACTATTTGTCGCCGCCGCTTTGCGCGGGTACACTACTAGTGTGTGTGTGTGTGTATATATACACACACACACGTTAATTAAGATAGAAAAGATGAGAGAATGTTTGTACGGTTAGCTAGGGTTAAAAATCTTTTTATTCTCGGTTAATTACATTCTCTAGCTGCTCTTTTTTTCTTTCTGTTCGAAACCAAAAGAAAAAAAATGTATGTCGAGAACAGAATGCTGAGAATGCCGGAGACAGAGATGAGTTGCAGGCGAATAATGCCGACGATGGGGATGAGCCGTTGCGAGCCTAGCATTATAGGTGTCTGGTGTAAGAATGATATGAAAATGAAATTACATGCTAGTAAGTTGTACTGTTTTTGCAAATTAAAGAGGTGTTTAACTTATATTTCAATGATTATGCTGAGCTTTCTATTGGGCTAGTAGTAGTGTTTAACTTTTTATGTCTTGATATAAAAGTGGCAGGAAATTTAAAGTATAGGGGTGAAAGTGTAAAAAGTTAATTCTAAATTATTATTTTCATGCACAGGGTCATCAAAACGGCACAAAAGTTCGAAGAAATGATGCTCAGAACAACAATGGCCGCTCTGTTTCACCCCACCACGAAGCTGTACTCTTTACCCTCAAGGCTTTTGTCTCACACTCGCTTCACAAACCCCAGCGGTTAATAAATCGACAAAGCTACCCTCGAGCTGATAAGAACAATCTTATCCATCAACACACCTCGTTCTCTATCATCTACAGCAGTTCCCAAAATTTCTAACGACACGACTTCTGATTTGGACAGCAATTACTTGTCTTGCTCAATGACCAATAGCAAGCGCCCTCTCAAAATTACGGTTCTTCTCATTGGTGGCGTTGATAGCAGTGTCGCATTTCGCGTCCTCCAC